TGTATGCATTTCAGGCTACTCTCAACTGATTTTAAGCTAGGAGCTCAGAATGACGTGTGTGTGTGTGTCCCCGTGTTTCTCTGGATGTGTGTATGTATGTAGAGGCCAGAGTTCGATGTGCTGTCTCTTCCTCTGTAGGTCTCTATCTTATTTTTGGGGATACGGTCTCTCATTTAAACTGGAGATCACTGGCTTAGCGAGGCAGACTGGCCAATGAGCTCTAGGAATCGTCCTCCTAGCACTGAGCTCACAGGTGCGAACACCACACACAGCTTCTGGGTGGGTGCTGGGGATCCAGACTCAGGCCTGAGTGTCAGTCACTTTATTGAGACATCTTCTCAGAGCCCAGAGCACACATTTTCATTAGTTTGTCACTGCAGGACGTAAGACAAAACATATCAGTCTGCAGCCCACACATGAGAGCAGGTTAAATAAAGATTTTAGGTGTACTAGTTAGTTTTCTATTGCGGTGTAAAATACTACGAAAAGGCAACTTACAGAAGAAAGAGTTTGCTTAGGTTTTACAGTTCCAGGTTAGAGTTCATGATGACAGAATCCAGGCATGGTAGCTGCATCAGGAAGCTGAGAGCTTATTATCTGGGGCCACACGCAGGAAGTAGAGAGCAAATGTGTCTTTAAACTCCCAGAGCCCATCTCCAGCAGCACGCTGACGCCAACAAGACCACACCTCAGTATTACCAACTGATGAGCCAGAGTTAAAATGCCCAACACTACTGGAGATAATTCTCCTTCAAGATGTCACATTATCAAAGGACACAGGAGTTCTGGAGCAAGTCATCCCCGAGTCTTCAAGAAACTTTAAGAATAAGTACCGTGGAATTAAAGGACACAAGAAGGAAGCTAATATTCTCCAGGCGTCCAGTGATGTCAGATGCCTTTAAGCCAGTCTTTGGGAAGCAGCGGCAAATGGGTCTCTGTGAGTTCGAGGCCAGAGTGTCTCAAACAAACAAATCAACAACCAAGTGCCTCTTGCACAAACAAAAGCATCAGCTTTGGGTGGGGTGGAGATGCAGCTTAGTTGGTAGAGCGCTAGCTCTAATACACATAGGGCTTCAGTACTGCACACATCGAGCTGAGCGGTCTGTGTGTACAATCTCAGCACTGGGTGGGGTAGGCAGGACTCCTGCAAGTCTGAGGCCAATCTGGTCTACGCTGTGAGTCCAAGATGGTCAGAGTTAGCTACAAAGCAAGATCCTGTTTCAAAAATAAAGCGATCGACTTTAGTGTTTAGTTCTATCCAGCACATGATGATACAGCCTGCTTCAAGTTCAGAACAGGAACTAGTTGATCTTTCTAAGTCAAGTTTTTACAGATCCCAAACTAGCAGCTGACGGGAAGGAATCTTCACCACATCGTACAGACGGTGGCAGTTACACCTGCTTCCTGTTCTTTTCAAAGACACTGCTGGCTGTGGCTAGCCACACTCCACATACTTATTTCTGATGAGAAAAAAAGGTAAATCTACTGACAAGGTAAGCATCATGTTGTATCTAGATGGTATGGCTCTCACAGAGCTCTGAAGGCCAACAAGATGCACTGGGAATTGCCATTTTTTTTAACATTAGATTATGTCATGAGGTGACATTGCATCCTCATACACACAGGTAGGATATTAAAGAAAAAACACCAAAGACTTATTTGCAACAGTTTCATGTCACCAGGGGTTGCCCTGCAAATCCTGGTACTCCTGTCTCTGGTGCTGAGATTTACAGGTGCCAGGTATCATCATCCTGGGCTTGTTCGTTTTTTTTTTAAAGATAAGGTCTCATTCTGCAGTCCTGACTGACCTGGAACTGGCCATCTTCCTGTTTCACCCTCATAAGTTCTGAGGATACAGGAAGGTTTCACCTGGCTTGTCTTAATTTTTATTTTTCCTTTTTTTTAAATTATTTTTTATGGTTCATTTAACTTTTTATTTATTTTATGTGCATTGGTATGAGGGTGTCGTATCCCCAGGAACTGGATCTTCAGACAGTTGTAATCCTCCTGTTGCGCTACTTGCTCAGTAATGAGATGACCACGCCAGCTTTAAGATGTACATTTTAAACCAAGGCCATAAGGAAAAAAGTAGACTCTAATAGTGTATGCAGTTTTAACAGGAGTCAAAAACAGCCGCTTCTGGGTTCTCAGCATCAGGGATTCGGAATCTTAGGTCCTAGACTGGGCCACTTACAATGTGATGGCCAAATGACAACGATATGGTAATGTTAACAGGATAGCGGTCGTTGATTGGGTGCCACAAGTTTATGTCCGGCATCCTGACAAGTAATTTATGTCTTTTACTCTTCAAAATGCCTTCCCGAGGTAGGTGGGTATTTTCTAAAAAAAACTTTTAAATTAATTTATGTATGCGCGCGCCTGAATGCACGATACGAACTGGCTCTGTAGCCCAGGCTGGCACCGAACTCACAGACACCCGCCTTCCTCTGCCTCCCGAGTGCTGGGATTAAAGGCGTGCGCCACCACCACCCGGTTAAAGCACGCGGTTTTGGTTCCATTTTTTTAGGCGAGTGAACTGTTTCGGAGCAGCTCCTGGCCATTCGCGGCAGAGCCAGGGCCAGGGTGAGTTCTAAACTTGCCACTACAGCGGCCGCACGGAGGAACCGGAAACGAGGGGACGGAAGCGGAAACCAGAGCGCCGCTTCCGACGCCGTGCCGGAAGTAGCGTTTCCAGCGTGCCGCCCTCTTCGCACGCAGTGGCGCTGCAGAATTTGTCCCCCTGTCGCGCACGTGCTGCCCGCGTCCTGCTCCCCGGCGCCTGCGGTGAAGATGGCGCACCCGTCCCCGGCAGCCAAGCCTTCCAACCCCAAGAACCCGCGGGTCTTCTTTGACGTGGACATCGGCGGGGAGCGAGGTGAGCGCCTCTCGCGCTCGTGGCCTCCCGGCTGCGCGTCTGCTCGGCCCCCTGAGTCGGGGCCTGGGGTCCGGAGGGAGCTGGCAGCCTGCATCCTCCCCGGAGCACGGCCTGGCATCCACGAGTTCAGCTTGAGCTTGCCTCCTTGTAGGCGATGCCTTGGTTCCCTAGGAAGTTTCTCGAATTTTCTACTTCGGGGATCGTGGCGTCCCTTACGTTTGGCTCTTGATTTGGTTGCGCTTCCCTGCAACCTTTTCACCGCTGTTTATTGTAAAATGAAATGATTGGATGAGCGTGCTGCATAGTTCGGGGTGCTCTTTGGGTAGCTGCCTGCAGGACTCTAGTCACGCCGTAGGACCCTTGGCACACGGGATACATCGGCAGCCACGGTGTCGTTTACCAATTAAAAGTGACTTGCTTAGTGCTTTTTCCTCGTTCCTCATTTTAGCTGCAGTTCGAGTAGGCGATCGTTTCTGCTATTTTGGCATCTTGCAATTGAGCACCACAACTGTGTGGTTGCCTTAGATTCAGATCTAAGAAGTCTTAAGCCAGCGTTTCTCAAAACCTGTTGGTCGCAATCCCTGGGTTTCTAACGACCACAGGGTCGCATATCAGATACTTAGGATTCATAACAGCAAAATTTGTTACAAAGTAGCAACAAAAAATAATCTTATGGTCTGGGGTCATCACACCATGCGGAACTGTATTAAAGGGTCGCAGCATTAGGAAAGTTATGAACCCTAGCCTAAGCCCTTGAGAACCAGGTAGGGGACATGTTATTTAAATACGGCTTATTCTGAAACGTGTTGCAGAGTTGCTGACTGGAAATACTGGGCGGGGAACACATACGAATTTTCATGTGCATTCACTTTGTTTTCGAACTAAGATTTTATTGTTACTGTCTTTTCGGTCTTTGGGAGCAGTTTCCACAGAGCATGAAGAGCGACTAAATTCTAAAAAGCCCAGGCAGCCCGACCATTCCTGTAGTATTTGTCTTCTGTTGGTTACATGGTGATTAGAAGTTCTTAACACAGGGCCGCTGAGATAGCTCAGCAGGTGAAGGTGTTTGCCACCATCCCCGACTGCCGGAAGTTGTCCCCTGATCTCCGCACTGCATGCCTCAGCCCCACACATAGAATAAATACTTTAAAAAGAACCCTGAATATTAGTGAATGATTCAGGATTTTAAACCATTTGCACTCATGGTGTCCTTACTATGCTACTAATGAGCTGGATGCTGTATTTGGTTATAATCTCTGTGATGTTCAAATTTAGATAGATGAAGCTCCCCTTAGACTAAATAGGAATATTAGAAAAATGACAATAAAACCTAACAGTTCCATGGCTGGGCTTATCGCCAAGGAAAATAAAGTTTGTATCACCCCTGTGTCCGTGCAATGTTATTCCTAGTCAGGAAACAGCAGCAGCCTAGTGCTTATCAAAGCGTGGATACCTGCAGGGTGCTGTGTACATAGACTATAGCACCGCCCTTGGAAGGGAGCAAACTTTGCTTACAACTGCATAGCTGAACCTAGACCACATTAGGGTGAGGGAAGTAACTGTGCAGGACCTCACTTTCATGGAATCTTTAAAAAGTTGAACTCAGAGAAGTAACAAGAAGGTTCCCTGGGGCTGGGGAGATGTCAGCCAAAGGATACAGAATTTCATTTAAAGAGAGGTAAGCTCAAAAGATCTGTTTACAGGGGCTGGAGAGATGTCTCAGAGGTTAAGAGCATTGCCTGCTCTTCCAAATGTCCTGAGTTCAATTCCCAGCAACCACATGGTGGCTCACAACCATCTGTAATGAGGTCTGGTGCCCTCTTCTGGCCTGCAGGCATACACACAGACAGAATATTGTATACAAAGTAAATAAATATTTTTTTAAAAAAAGATCTGTTTACAGCAGCATTGTAACTATAGTTAATAGCGTGTTGTTAAAAGAGAGTTAAGTGACCATCCAATCCAACCATTTGTTGCTCCCTGGTTAGGTATACTAATTATTCTCTTTTTATTTACCCATTTGCACAATGACATGATTTCCTTTTCTTTTTCTTCAGTTGGCAGAATTGTTTTAGAATTGTTTGCAGATATTGTTCCCAAAACTGCAGAAAATTTTCGCGCATTGTGTACAGGAGAAAAAGGCACTGGAGCCACAACTGGGAAACCTCTGCATTTTAAAGGATGCCCTTTCCACCGAAGTAGGTGTCTAAACTTCTCTGGTAGTCCTGATAGAGATAGCAGTCCTGCTCCTAGGACTGAAGAAGAGTGGAAGGTTGGGTCAAAGGTCTAACGACTTAATTTCTTTGATGGATGCTTGGACACAGGTGATAGATGGTTCAGTGTCATAGAGACTTGGCTGTGAGCAGGGGGGTTGATTGTGGGCTCACACTAAAGTTTATCTGTGGGGAAATGAACAGCCCAACTTCGTCTGTCTTCTGTCACCAGTGACTAATGCTTAAAAGAAGAGAGAAAAAAATAAAATAGTTAACACAGTAGATTTAACACTTTACAAAAGTACTTGGCTAGAGTTGGAAACGTGGCCTGTGAACTTAAATCACAAGGTGAATGCCTAGACCTACACTGTTTTTACAAATGTGGTTGATAAGAAACATCTACTCTTAGTCTTGAATTTTGGGACATATTAGACAGAGAATACTTTCATGATAAGCCCCGGGAAATATTTTGAGTGCTGGGGTTCTGCTTGGGTAGAATTATTGAAGGGCTTTTCTGCATTTTTGAGAGGGAGAAGCCCAAGGAAGTGGGACGTGGATACTTCCCAACTTGTGTTTCTTTTTCTCTTGACTAACTCTGAGTGTTTATTACTACAGTGTAGCCAAATGCTGAGTCCAGTGAAGCTAGGGGTCTCAGAACTCTGGCGTGCATTCTCAGCACATGTGAGTTTCCAGGTGCAGTCCTCATTGAGTGGTCAGCACTGTTAGGGACAGTGTTGAGTGTTTAGCAGGCATTATCTAGCAAGTGTCTACACAGTTTCAAGGAGTAAAATGCTTTGTAAGCAGTTTGTGTTGGAAGGGCACAGATGATCACATTATAAAATGGAAGCAGGATCAGTTTAATGATTGGAACTAGGTCTGCCTTTTGTGTTTCAGTGACAGTTCTATAGGGAGGTACCTTTGAATTAGTTCAAAACTAATTTCTTGGGAGCCAGCAAGTAATAAAAGTACGCTGGAGTTAGGGCTGATGGGGTGGAGGTAGGGAGGGCGAGGTGTGCTGCTGCGGCTGTGCTCAGGGCGTGTCTTCATCTTGCTCACTGATGAGCTCTGCTGTGCTCTTCTGTTTCAGTTACTAAAGCCATATTCCTTTTCTGCAGTTATTAAGAAGTTTATGATTCAGGGTGGAGACTTCTCAAATCAGAATGGGACAGGTGGAGAAAGTATTTATGGTGAAAAATTTGAAGATGAAAATTTTCATTATAAGGTAAAGAAGAATTCTTGTTTTTTCTAATATAAAGATTATGTTTTTGAGACATACTTGCATTAAGATACCAAGAAAAATATGTTTGGAGTGTGACTCAATTGCTCTCCTTCTGGAACTGGGGCCTTTTATGCCAGACAGATGCTCCGTCTCTCAGCTGCCTCCCTTTCCGCACTGAGACTGGTTTTCGCCTAGTTACTCGGGCCAGCCTTAGACCCACTGTAGCCCAGAACTCCCAATCCTTTTTACTTACACTCCTTAGCAGCTGGGATGACAAACCTGAGCCAGCAGGCGTGGTATGAATTATATTTTTCTTATAAAAAATCATATTTGTAAAATGTTTCTAAGGGTGTGTGATGCTGGGCATGCATGAGCTCAGGGTCTTGTGCATTCTCGGCAAGTTTTCTACCGCTTGACCTACATCAGAGTTCAACATGCATCTTCATTGTGGAAAGGGTTTATCCAGTAACAATTTTCTTTTTTGAGACAGTGTTTTACTGTGTAATCCAGGGTGGTCTTGAATTTACCATCCTCCTGCATTGCCTCCTGAGGGTTGTAATGATAGATAAACTTTCCCATACTTGGCACAAATACAGTACTTAATCCACTACAATCAGTTTTTATATGCTTCAGTTAAGCCAGTGAGTTTTTAAGCTCCCATATGGCAAAATTGATCCCAGGAAAATGTTGTCATTATTGTAAGGATGGTAACTTGTGCATCTTTATCCTTGAATCTGAAGAACAACAAAACCACCGCTAATACCCAGGATGTCAGGGGATTTCCACCTAGCGGATATGGTTAATGTTCGGGGTATATTGCACCATTCCCGTTTTAAGAACAGACATGTAAGTACAAAAGTAAAGCGATGTCTTTGGAAATGAGGAGTATAAGGAAGGTAATTTTAGGGTGAGTCGGAAAGAGAGTTTCAGATGCTTAGTTCTGTCACTGCGCCAAAGAGCTAATAAAAGATGAGACTATTTAAAATACAAGGGACAGTGGAGGATAATAATACATAATATGCATGTAAATGCTAAGTAGATTGATTGTATTTGTTTATATAACTTTGATAGGCGTTGACTGTCCTTTATATGAAATGCTTTATTCTAGAAATATTTCAGGTTTCAGAATTATTTGGATTTTGAAATGTTTGCATAGATTTTATAGGTTGAGCATCCCTAATCTGAAGTCTGAAAGTTGTTGCTCAAAAGTTTCAGATTTTGTAACATGTCTGACTTTGGTTTTCAGATTAGGAAAGTTCAACCTTTAGGTTGAAACTTGTTGTGTAGACCAGGCTGGGCTTGAACTCAGAGATCACCTGTCTCTGCTTCCTGAGTGCTGAGATTAAAAGCATGTGGAACTATACCCAGCGCTTGTGATAGGAGAAAGACTTAGATCAAGTTAGTAGGGGAGACACTGAGGAGATTTGATCACATAAGTTAGGCAAACCGGGCCTTCAGGTAGCTGAAATTTTGCTAATTTGGGACGGAAACAAGATGACAATGGTGACAGCGACAGGGAACGGCGGTGGAAAGGAAAGGAAGCCTACGGTGTGGTAAACAGAGGAGAGCACCAGACAGTGCTGTCAGGTATGACATATTTCTGAGCATCACCTTGATGAAAAGACAGGCCTAAGGAAAAGAAGACTTAGCTGTGGTTTTGTGAGAATTCAGTGACCCTGAAAGCTTAATTGGATTTAGGTGGAATCACAGGTGTCTTAGGTGTGGGAAAAGTGATCTTAGAGTTCTGAGGCGTGCACTAGAGATATATGTTCAGAAAGTCGATGCTATGCAGAGTAGAAACGCTAAGAAACTCTTGCTCTTGAACGTGATGATTGCAAGATTTTCTTTTTTTAAGACTTGTTGTGTATACAGTGTTCTGACTGCATCCACGCCTGCACACCAGAACAGAAGAGGGCTCCAGATCTCATTACAGATGGTTGTGAGCAACCATATTGCTGGGAATTGAACTCAGGACCTCTGAAAGAACAGCCAGTGCTCTTAACCTATGAGCCCTCTCTCCAGCCCTGCAAGAATTATTATTATTATTTGTATAGTCTCTGAATTGTTAATTTACCTGCATAAAAGCCATAAGATTGGAATTATTTTCCAAATTAGGGAAGTACTTCTCTGAATAACTTGTCTCAGTTTGGGGAAAAGGAAGAGTCATAATGTAGGCCAATTTCTGATTGTGGAAAGACTGTACAGGTGCCACTGAAAAGAGCAAAGTAAATTGCTAGATGTCCTTAGGGTGGCATCGTCATCTTTCAGACCGAAGTGTAAGCATCTCTTGCAGATGGCCAGTTTATAAATACCTGGCTTTTAGACACTTTTGTTTTATCCATGTAAGGTTCTTAAAGTACAGTCAGAGAACAGGGTACTTACTCACTTAGAGTGAAGTTGATAGAGAAAAGTGAGTAGTGAGACACTCCATCTGTGTCGGTGGAGTCGGGAAGAGGAAATGCAGACTAAGGCTCTAACTTCGTTTTCCTTTTAATGATTTTTATCTCTGCAGCACGATCGGGAGGGTTTGCTGAGCATGGCAAATGCAGGCCCCAATACAAATGGCTCTCAGTTCTTTATCACAACAGTTCCAACTCCTCATTTGGATGGGAAACATGTGGTATTTGGTCAAGTAATTAAAGGACTGGGTGTGGCAAGGATGCTTGAAAATGTAGAAGTGAATGGTGAAAAGCCTGCCAAAGTAAGTAACAATAGCAGTGAGACAAGCTTACCTGCCTAGTGCCGTGTCAGAGAAGTGCAGCTTACACGATCGGGTGACTGCTAGCTAGAAAAGGAGGAAAGGAGCTGGGATGCTTTTGCTGTAGGAGCCTGGATTGGCCACTTTTATCTGAAACATATATATTTTTTAATTTTTTAATGGTTTATTTAACTTTATGTGTATTGGTGTGAAGGTGTCCGATCCTCTGCAACTGGATCTTCAGACAGTTGTGAGCTGCCATGTGGGTGCTGGGAATTGAACCCAGGTCCTCTGGAAGAGCAGTGCTCTTAACCACTGAGCCATCTCTCCAGCCCTGGCTAAGATTAGTTTAAAGGAAATCTGTTTATTTTTTTTTCCTTTGAAACAGGTAGACTACCTTTCCATGAATTGTCTAGTCCTTTTGTCTCTGCTAATGCTACTACACACACACACACACACACACACACACACTTTAATTCACTACCCCTATCCTTAAGAAACTTCCAGCTCACAACGCATTTGAGAAGACACCGTGCTAGAAAATACATTTTCCTGAACAACACCAAGACAGTGGACAAGTGGACAATGAACAAGTGGACAATGGACAAGTGGACAATGGACTCATGTGCCAGGATTGAACACTGCACAACAAAGAGATTTTAATTCTTGTTTTAGCTTCAGTGTGGTCTAACAGTGATCTCTGTAAGATTGCTGGAGTCTTCCTATGCCCAAGAGGCTTTTGCGCCTGTAGTAATTAACTATATATAGTACATGGCTAGAAAGAAGATAGTGAGGTCACTGCCATTTAACTGGAAGTTTGGTGTAAATCTTGTTACTTTTCTTGGTCTGTTTTTACACCCTGTATAAATTGCTTAAGTGTTTCAGATTGTATTGTATTGTAAATACTTGTGAAGCAGAGTGACCATGAGAGACACATTAAGTAACAAGACTGCAGAAATTAGAAATCCCTCATAGGAGGCATGGCAGTCAGCAATACATGACAGAAAGACTGTGTTGTCTCAGACAGTTTCATACACAGTATGCAGTTCTCAGCTCACGGTGCTTATAGCTCTCCTAAACAGTACAACACTGAATAGTGACACCGTCGTATTAGTGGGAATGTACGTAAAAGAAATGACTATAATTATAGCAGACAGATGCACCCATCAAGCCTGACAGTAGTAGCAGTGTTGTGTGTCACTCAGAGCTGTGCAGTCTTTAAAGGTGAATATCTAAATATTCACTTCAGATTCCTATTTTTTGCAGCTGTGTATTATTGCAGACTGTGGAGAATTGAAGGAAGGGGACGACTGGGGAATATTCCCCAAAGACGGCTCTGGTGACAGTTATCCGGACTTTCCCGAGGATGCAGACATAGACTTAAAGGATGTGAGTACTTTCAGAAGAATACACTTTAATTACTTAAATGAAGTAGAATAAGTAGTTCTAAAAGCATGATTAGCTTGTCATAATGATAGACCTTAGCCTTAAGTCACATTCTTTACTAACATCCAACAAATTTGTATTTTATACAGGTAGATAAAATTTTATTAATAACCGAAGACTTAAAAAACATTGGAAATACTTTTTTCAAATCTCAGAACTGGGAGATGGCTATTAAAAAATATGCAAAGGTTTTAAGGTAATAAAGCGCTTTTAATAAATTACTTTTAAGACTATATAAACAATTATTTTGAGCTAATACTCAGAATCATGTTTAGCAAGTTATTTAATAAAAAGCTGTATTGAAAGAGTTACATTTTTTGCTGGGTGTGGTGCTGTACACCTTTAATCCCAGCCCTAGGAAGGCATAGGCAGGCAGATCTTTGATTTGGAGCCTAGCCTGGTATACAGATCTCGCTTCACGACAGTCCCAGGCCTACACAGAGAAACCTGTCTCGAAACAACAACCTCTACCCCGAAAAGAATTACATTTCTTTTGTTGCCCTGACTTATTTTGAAATATTTCAAAATCCAGAAAAGTTGAAGTGGGACTCAATTATGTTTTTTTTCCCTTTCAAAGATTTTTAACTTGTTTTTGACAAACCCTTAAAAAAGAACTCGTAGCTAGCATATTTACTCCTAAGTATATCAGCACCTAATGTTCTTGCTAAAGAGCAGAGGAGGTCTAAATCACTTATCTCAGTAAGACAGCATTAGCAGTGTGGACTACATAGGCTGTTTTAGCCCCTGCCCCAGCTCAGCTGCAGACTGAGACGTAAGCTGGGTATTTGGCTGTAGTGCTGCTCTTTGATCACTGCACCCAGGGCATTTTCTTCTTTGACACATTCTGGCCTGAAACCTGCTGTGTAGACAAGGCTGGCCTCAGACCACAGATCCACCTTATTATTTCTGTAGGCTCCCCCCCCCCCAGTCTATTGGAATTCAGAGTGTGAGTCATCATGCCAGGCCCCTCCACTGTGTCTTTTTGATTGTTATTCTCACAAACGATTTATAATGTATATTTTCTGTGTGAACGCATGTGCCGTACATATTAGTAGAGGTCAGAGGACATCTTGTGAGAGTCAGTTTTCTCTTCTGTGTGGTCCTGGGATTGAACTAAGATTCTCAGGTTTATTTTTCTTTATGAGGCATCTTTTGGCTGTGTTTTAAAAATTGTATGTGAGTGTTTGTGTGAGTACATGTGTGGAGACCATCTGCATCAAACACACATAATATTTTGAAATCAACACTACATTACTGCATTGCCTCTTCCCACTGAATTCAGTCCTAATGTAGGAATACAGGTTTGGAACACCTGTATTCCTGTATTAGAAGGTATATAATATGAACCTGAATTGTACATAGTTAGATATGAGAGTTATTGTTCGTTGTTTCCCTTGGGGGAAGTTGATGTTAAAAACTATCCTCTGGAGAGGCAGGGCTAGGAGTGTAGCTCAGTGGTAAGAAGGTGTGTTTAGCAGGCTCACAGCCCTGGGTTTCCTTTCCTGCATCTGAAGAACAAGTGTCATCAAAAAACTGATGGTTCAGTATCAGGTATAAGAAGTATGAAGAAGTGGTGCAGAGTTACATGTTGTTTTTATTACTATGTTCTCTAGATACGTGGATAGTTCAAAGACTGTTGTTGAGAAAGCAGATACATCCAGACTGCAGCCTATAGCCTTAAGCTGTGTGCTGAATATTGGCGCTTGTAAACTGAAGATGTCCAATTGGCAGGGGGCGATCGACAGTTGTTTGGAGGTAAGTCTTTGTGATGGTGAACCCTTGGAAGGGATGGGATTTTGATTTATCAAGGCAATAGTTAGAAAAAGGCAATGGTTCTTAATGTATTTTAGTTGCCTAGGATCTAGTGAGACTTTGGATTGTCAATTCGTCCTGCTAATTCATTAATCTTGGCTTTTAATTGTCACCTAATATGTACTAGGAATTCTGCTTTTATTTCTCAAAGCATGTTTATCTGCTTGTTTATTTGTATTATGATCTAGACATATATGAACACAGAGCCAGGAATGATGAAGAATGTAGGTGTGAGTGTGGTTAGGAAGATCACGAAGTCATAGCTGTCCTTTGCTACGTGAGACCCTGCTCAAAAACGAAATAGAGCATGTGTGTAGATAGCTCTTCTGCCTGTGTGTCCTAAGTACAGTTTGACTTCTTAAAGCAGGGTCGCATGTACTTCAGGCTGGCCCAAAGAAGGTTTTCTTGCTGGCCTTTCAGTTGCTAGGATCAGACATGTTATCACCATGCTGTGCTTGGTGTATTTTAACTTTATAGTTGAGTGTGCGTGCACCATGGTGCATGTCCACCTTTATGTGAATACCAGACATTGCGCCTAGGTCCAGACATGTGTGCAAATGCCTTTTATCCACTGAGTCATCTGACTGGCTTTTATTTTTTTTTAAAGCCCAGTCCTCAAAAGGCTTATGGATAAGACACAGTGGGCAGACAGTTCCTATTTGGTATTGACTGGTTATCACCAGATACAGAGAAAGATTTGTTCTAATAAGGGCCATCTGGGTACATTGAATGGTAGTTGAAAAACTTTCCAGGCTATGCTTTGTTTTTGCACATTTAGCTAAGAGCATGCACCTCTGTTCAGCAAGAACTAAAGTGAGACCTGTGTGTGCAGCTTCGTGGTATAGTAGGACTTGGATAATAGTCACAGGGCTGCCCTTCAGGCCCAGTCTTTCCGCTTACGTAGATGGAGTGGCTGATAACAGGAAATGTTAGCATTAGAAGAAAACCCATTCTGGATTGCTTCACTTTTTCTGGGAGGTGGTAATATTCCATCTTAAAAAAACAATTCTCACCAGGTGGTGGTGGCGCACGCCTTAATCCCAGCAGAGGCAGGTGGATCTTTAAGTTCGAGGCCAGCCTGGTCTACAAGACCTAGTTCCAGGACAGGCTCCAATGCTACAGAGAAAACCCTGTCTCGAAAATTGAAGGAAAAAAAAAGAAAGAAAGAAAAAGAAAAATTTCTCAGTATTGACTTTCTTAAGAGCTGTCATGCAGGCAGAATATATTGCTTTAAAAATGTTGTTCCAGAGGAGAGACCTGTTAAAAGGTGCTCGTATTTGTAGTATAACTCCCCCCCCCCGTCCTTGGATTCTGTGTTCTCAGATTATGTAACTGCAGGTGGACTATTCTCTGATAAACATGTTATTGTCATCTTCCCTATAAACATAGCTGGACACGTAGTTAATGGCAGTTGGGTGACTTGTGTACCACTGGATTTTGGTTTTCAAGTGTTGGGCTGCCCTTGAACCAATGACGGTATCAGAAGATGACTCTATTTCTAACTGGGTCCACTTGAGCTAGAAACCAGTGCAGAGCAGCATTTCCACACCCACTCAGCACCCTCTACTGGTAAACTCCTGGCTGACACAGGTGCTCTAGCTCCAGTGAGTTGGAGCACTCACTGGAGTAACAGGTACTTTTAGATAAAAATATTGATTTTTTTATAACTTTTTTCCATAGGCTCTTGAAATGGACCCATCAAATACCAAAGCACTGTACCGCAAAGCACAAGGGTGGCAAGGATTAAAAGAATATGATCAAGCATTGGTAAATTTTGGTCTCATTGTTTTATAATAATCACCTTAAAAGTCCTAATGTCTTATGTTTCTTAAATTCTCCCCCTTTCTGACCCCATTAAAGGCTGATCTTAAGAAGGCGCAGGAGATTGCCCCAGGAGATAAAGGTAAACTGGCAGATTTGTTGTGAAGCTTCATT